GTTGACAGTGAAAGTTTTATTGGGGTCACGCTAACCGGACCCTCTCCCACACTGAGCGCAGGAGATGGAATCTATCTCACGTTGGACGTGTCTGGGTGAGGGTTCATCTCCTGCGAACAGGCAACAAACGGGAGTCAATTCCTGTAAGTCTCGGAGCTGATGAACAGCTCCCCTTGTCTGTTACGGTGAATAAACTGAGCAGAATCTCCTCCACCCCCGCAGCGCCACATTCATTACATATCCCCCGGTGGCTCGGTGCCTGGGCATGGGGAGGGAGGGAGAGCCCCTCTCCTGGGGGCAGCACTAACCGACACAAGGCACTGGGTTTAGAATCGGGAGGGAGAGCCGCTCCTTGCCTGATCACTCGGGGTGAGAGTGGGTGCTGAACATTCAGCCAGGCAGCTGAAGGAAAGTATAATCCGCAGTATTTGTCAGGCAGCTCCGCTTGGCAGAGCATGCTGGGCTGAGCTGAGATTCAGAAATTTCAGTTGTTTACTGAGACCATGTGGGATATAACAATCTTAGCCCCCCCTGCAGTGTGAAAAATGGGTAGCTCTCAGACAAATTGTGCGAGACTTAATCTTGCCTATCAGTATCGCTCTGTAAAGCATTATAAATAATTAGCATTACCTTTCCTATGCTTAATCCTGTCTTTCTGCAATATTGTATTTTAATGCCGCGTCTGTTTTAAGCGGTGATTGTGGCAAAATCGGATAAACTGGTTGAGGTGCAGTATTAAGGCTGAAGTTAGACTGTCCAAGTTCAAACCAGTGCCAGAATACCCTGAGATGGGGCTCGTACCTGTTGGCTTGAGTGAACCTCCAAAACTCTTTCCAAATCATTGTGCTACTTTTGGCGCAATGTTGTTGGTGTTCTGAATGTAGACAGAGAAAAGCTAGATTCACATTCCAATTTCCCCTTTCCATCGCCAGCTTGAAAATCAGTTGACTTTTCCCTGAATAATTATTGCGATGTCTGAATTTTCAAAGTCAGAAGGTTTTCTTATTTGCAAAGCGATTTACCCCTGCCTTTCACACAAACAAAAGTGTGTGGATGGGAGAGGGGAGGGTCAGTGTCAATTCCAATGTGAATAGCAAAGCGCCTGGATGGCATTGAGGTTTGGAGGTTGACAGTGAAAGTTTTATTGGGGTCACGCTAACCGGACCCTCTCCACATTTGTTTTCTGTGATGATATGAAAGTGGCAGTCTACTGTATCCTGAATTTGAGGGATGCTAAATTGTGTGGTGGTAATCATTGACCCAGAACATTCTAGTGATTCCACCTTTTCAGTTGTGTCTGTGCTCATAAAGCTTCAGCACATTGTCAGCTCCCATACTGTCTCGTAGCCATTTGCCTTGATAATGTTATTAGCAGGCATTTTTTGAGGAGGAAATCCGCAGGGCTAGCTGTGAAAATGGTTCAACTGTTTTGATTCATGTTAAGTGTTGAGATTGCCTTTTCAGAGTGAACTATCTTCTTCATTTAGGCTGGCCATGGGAGGTTAATTCTGTGCCTAAAATTCCCAATCTGTGAAAAGCATGTATTTGCCAACTAAAATGTTAATGAGCAAAATCATTTCCAAGTGCCAGATCTGAATGCCACACAAGTCAAGTGACATTTAAATCCTTGAGTCATGAATTCCCCTTTGCACCTCGCAGAACACAAATGTGTTTCCATCAGCTCATACCGATGATGCAAAATGTCTGTGAATGGATTACATGACAGTTTTTCAATGAGGGGTGCGGATAACATAGACCATAGAAGTGAACCTGAGCTGGGATTAACATTATTTGAATCGCAGGATTATTTGTTTTTATTTGCATTAAATTTTCTTTGTTTTCATTTTTATTAAGTGTTTTACAATCACAAGAGTTTCTTATGCTTTCTAATTTGCTTTGTTACTGGTGCAGTGCAGTCTGATAGATAATTTTCTACATAGTGTTTGAAGACAAGTCTCATATTGCAATGTAGGGTTAAAAAAAATCATTAATTTTGTGAATTAGTCTTGGAAGGTATGTTATGTAAATGGATCAGCAGAATTAGAGTTATTTAAAAGACAAATTTCAAGAAGCAACACAGCTACATGAGACAAGTATTCATCTACTTGATGTTCATATTATTTTCGCCCTGTTCCTTTTTTCTCTTACAGTTGCTTACTGTGTTTTTGTGTAACTGGAATTTACAAATTGGTTTTCTTTTTGTCTGTTCCCACTATTTCCCCAGACTGGCAGATGCCTTTCATTGAAAGATCTGAATCCAACGTTTATTGACTATGATTTATAGTGCATGTTTAAGAAATATTTTGTTAACTTACAATCAGAATGTTACATTATAGAGATTCATACTCAAATGTGACATAAGTCATGCTGAATAGTTTATCAGGCAAAATTACAATTATATAACGATTGAGATGTATTACTGTTAGCCTGTGAATGCATAATCGTGCTCAATGTTACATAGAAATCAATTGTCTCAGGTTCCTCTCCCCTGCAAATGCCTCCCATTCCCCTTGGTAATGTAACCGTTCAGATATCACTGGAAAATCCAATAAGAAATCACAGTTTAAATCACAATTTGAAATAGCATTGCCACTCTGCTTCCCATGGGGAAAGGTTAGATTTTCCTCAGGAGTGAGTTGCTTTGGAGTTGGGAAAAAAGGTGGGTCAAAAATTGATTATTAACAGTAGAGTGATCTACTGGACTGTTTGTCCTCAAGAACATGGACAGCTAAGTTGAAAGTGATGAATGGCAGAAACAGCAGACAAGTCTCAGTTTAAACACCAGGTAATGCTATTCACTCATCTCAAGGAGAAATGAAATTGCTATGATTGGTCTTGAAAGTCCTGCTGTAAGGTTACTTGTGTAGCTGTGGAGTGCAAATGGGATTGGGCTCAGCAATGATGTCTCCACCCAGCAGAATAGAATAGCTTGCCATCATTTACGCATGAAAAATACCCACTTTGCTGAGGTATCAGAGAGCGACCAGCACTTGTGGAACTATATTGCAGGAAATGAAGGGAAATTTAGGGAGGGAAAGGCAACTTGGGAAACTGGGGTATTACGAAGGTTTACGATTACCACTCAGGTCACTCTGGGTCTCACTGAACAGAGGCTCAAAGAACACAGAGTGAAAAAAGTCAGTAAGTATGTGATGGAGAAAGAAAGTAGAGTTCATGTTTGGCAAACTGACTCTTAGGTGTCCCATGGGGAAGACAGTTGAACTACATGACTTCTGTCTGAGAGACAGTGAGTTAAATCTGAAGAGCAGTTGGGTAACTCTGTGCCGTTGGGATTGAGGCCAAGTTCTGGGAGTTACTGGGGAGCTAGGTGTTTCAGTCAGAGCTTAGGAAAAGTCCTAGGAGTTGCATTGGCTCACGTGAAGTCAGGTACTACTAATAGTTCGTTCAAGCTGAGGATGCTGTTTGAAAAGGCACAGGCAGTACCTGCTTGATGTAGCTGAACAAGGTAGGGGTTCAAGGAAAAACACGAGGAAAGGTCCAGCTGAGTGAAGTTGGGTGTCAGCAAAAAGCTGGAGTTGTAGCAGTGAACAAGTACATGGACATTTTTTGACATCAAGGACAAGATGAACCCAGGACAGGAGAGTGATCAACATGAACAGGATTGGGAAACGAAGAAAGAAAACTAAATATCATAGAATACCTACAATGTGGAAACAGGCCCTTTGGCCCAACAAGTCCACACTGACCGTTGGAGCATCCTACCCAGACCCATCCCCCTAAAACCCACCTAAGCTACACATCCCTGAACACTACAGGCAATTTAGCATGGCCAATCCACCTAACCTGCACATCTTTGGACTGT